GACTAGAACTGGAATCACACCACTGGCTTTCCTGGATCCCCAGCTTACAGGCAAATTGTGGGACTTCTCAGTCTCCATAATCACATGAACCAATTCCTCATCATCTATCTGTCTGTCTGTCTATCTATTTACCTTCTATGTATCATCTATTATCTATCTATCTATCTATCTATCTATCTATCTATTATCTCTCTCTCTCTCTCTCTCTCTCTCTCTCTCTCTCTGGAGAACCTGACTAATACACTATCTCTTAAAACTTCTGGGATTGCGGTGTATGACAATACCATCAAGTGCTTATCACAGTGTCTAGCACATGTTATGTGCTCAATAAAATGGTTCTGTTATTATAGTTGTTGGTAATAAAACTACCATTAGTAGTATATCCAGGGAATATCTCATTTAAGAGCCAGAAAAATAAGAAGCATTGCATGGTTTCTCTGAAGAGCAAAGAATTGCACGTTAAGAAAAAAAAAAACTGGAAAAAACATAAACATGTGGAGGCTAAACACCATGTTACTAAACAACCAATGAGTCAGTGAAGAAATCAAAGAAGAAATTTTAAACATACCTGAAGACGAGTGAAAATGGAAACACAATGGTTCAAAATCTTTGGAATGCAGCAGAAGCAATTTTAAGAGGGATGTTTATAGTGATAACCGGCCTACATCAAGAACAAACAAAAACCAAAGTTAGTAGGAGAAGGAAACAATAAAGATTAGAACAGAAATAAATAAAACAGTGACAAAAAAGATATAAAAGATCAATGAAACCAAGAGTTGGTTCTTTGAAAAGGTAAACAAAATTGGTAAACCTTTAACCAGACTTACCGAGAAAAAAAGAGAAAGCACTCAAATCAGAAAGGAATGAGAAGTAACAACTGACATGATAGAAATATAAAGGATTATAAGAGACTATATGAAAAGTTATATGCCAACAATTTGAGCAAACTAGTATAAATGGGTAAATTCCTGGAAACATACAATCTTCTGAGACTGAGTCGGGAAGAAATAGAAAATTTAAACAAATTGTTTACTAATAACAAAATTGATCAGTAATCAACTCTGAACAAACAAAAATCCAGAACAAATGTCTTTACAGATGTATTCTACCAAACATTTAAAGAAGAGCTAATATCTATCCTTCTCAAAAAATTCCAAAAAATAGCAGAAGAAGGACAACTTTGAAATTCATTCTGTGAGGCCAGCATTACCCTGATACTGAAACCAGGCAAAGACACAACAATCACCACCACCACAACAACAACAAAGAAAACTACAGGCCAATATCCGTGCTGAACGTAGATGCAGAAGTCCTCAACAAAATATTAGCAAACCTAGTTCAATGATAAATATCAAGTACTATTTATTCCAGGGATGCAAGGCTGGTTCAATATCTGCAAATAAATCAGTGTGATACACCACATTAACAAAATAAATGATAAAAAGCATATGATCACCTCAACAGATGCAGGAAAAAATATCTGACAAAATTTAACATATGTTTATGATAAAACTGTCAACAAAGTGGGTTTAGAAGGAACATACCTCATCATAATAAAGGCCTTATCTGAAAAATACACAGCTAACATACTCATTGGGAAGAACTGAAAACTTTTTCTCTAAGATCAGGAACAAGACAAGGATATCTACTCTTACTTTTTTTTAATGAACATAACCACAACAATCAGACACGAAAAAAATATAGGCATCCAAATTGGTAAGGTAGAAGTAAAACTGTCAGTATTTGCAGATGACATGATACTGTATATAGAAAACCCTAAAGACTCCACTAAAAAACTATTAGAACTAATAAAGGAGTGCAGTAAAATTGCAGATACAAACTTATTATACAGAAATCTGCATTTTAAGAAAATGTTTATTTATTTTGAGCGAGAGAAAGAGAATGAGCAGGGGAGGGGCAGAGACAGAGGGAAAGAGAGAATCCCAATCAGGCTTTATACTGTCAGTGCAAAGCCCGACACAAGGCTTGATCCCAGGAACCATGAGACCGTGACCTGAGCCAAAAACCAAGAGTCAGACGCTCAACCAACTGAACCACCCAGGTGCCCCAGAAATCTACTGCATTTTTATAGACTAATAATGAAGTAACAGAAAGAGAAATTAAGAAAATAATCCCACTTACAATTACATCAAAATAATAAATACCTGGGAATAAATTTAACCAAGGAGATGAACTCCTTGCTATATGAAACAACATAAAAAATTTCACAGACATAATATTCAGTAAACAAAGCCAAACTCAGAAAAATTCAGACTATATGATTCTATTCATCTAATATTAAAAAAAATATTTATAGTGATAGAAGCCAGAATAGTGGTTACCACTGGGAGAGGGGTGGCTGGAAAAGGACAAGACAGAGCCTCCTGGGGTGTCCTATATCTTCATGTGGGTGGTGGTTACATAGATAAACACAATATAAAATTTGGGTAATCTATACACATAAAATTGCACATTTTATATTTGTTGTGCCTCAGTTAACAACCAGAAGGATAGATCAAGAGTCTGAGAAGGAGCTAAATTTCCCAATCTTTTTCCACTCTGTGCAACTAAGCAATTGTCATTCTCTAACTGGAAAGCAGGAAACTAGAGATTGATTTCCTAGGACTATGTAATAGAGGGTATCTGGACTGGGACACACTGGCCACAATCATGGGCAGCTGAACTGTGCTGAAATGGGAATAAAAGATAATCTTCAAAGATAGCCCCAAATAATTCCCCTCCTCTCTTTTGAGCATGATGTTACTGCTATCAAGGGGTTGAATCATGTTAACTCCCATGAATCTGGACTGGACCTACACTGCTTTGACTTACAGGATGCAGAGAAAGTGACGTCATGGAGCTTCCAAGCACTTCCAAGATATGCTTCATCAATAAGGAGAAAGACGTGGGATCCAAACAGATGAGGGAAGAGAATCCTCAGGGTGATGGTGGAGAGATTGCTTAGATAACAATCTTGCACCAGGCATAGGGCAACCGGTCCAGAACTGGTCAGAAGGCTAAGAAGAGATTTCTCAAAGATGAAATTGATGGAATGCATAATGTATTTGAATATCTCAAGAGTGGAGTTAGGCAATTTTGGGAGGACCTGAGGTTGAATTACAGATTAGTACATAGGCAACTAAGTAATAAAAAAGACCTGGCTAATTCTAGAGGAAATAAAATGTGTAGAAAAGGAAAAGTAATTGTAGTACACTCTATGGCTCAACTGTGCATAACATTTACAATATTATATAAAATGCAGGTGTGTACATGTCATATTTTATCTAGCAGTGTTAGCTCTTTGTGGTGAAAGAGGTAACAAAATAAGTTAGTACCCCATAATTTTGGAGTCAGAGTTTTTGCATTGTCTTCCAAGGGCTACTGTGGTTCAAAGGGAAAAAAAGGCTGAGGCTGGAGAAGTTAGGAAGTCTTCCCAGAGGATTTTTAAGTGTTCTGGTGTTATCTTCGAGGTTGATTAATATTTCCCCCAGTGAGAAACTCTCTGTAGCCAGTTATAAAATATTTGAAATGTGGCAGATGCTGGTCTCATCCCTATCTCATTTCAGAAAACAAATCAGCATGTATGCTTTCTGAAGCCCTCTTCTTAGAGTGTCTTTCTGCACTGTATTTTGGGTATAGCCCGTTCTGAGCTCTATTCTTTGCCCCACAGAGATTATTAAATACAAATTTTTAAATACATGAGATGTTAACAAATTAAGGCTAAAACTGAACTGTGCAGGGTACAGGATAATCAGAAGTTATGGGAATGTTTGCAAGACTTGACAAGAGAGCTTGGCTAGCAGACAAAACATTGTTCCAAAATCTAAGGGGAAGGAGGAAATAAAACATGGGGATAGGGCCGCCCGGCTGGCTCAGTCGAGATTGTTTAAAAATAAAAATGTTTTATAAAAAAAGAGCATGGAAGAGTGGGTGAAATTAGAGCATAACATGGGAATTCTGAGAATATGTAAAGGAGTGATGGTTAAAGTCACCTGGGGAGCTTTGAAAAATACAGATTCCGGGGACCTGTATTCTATAATTTATATTCAGTAGTGCAAGTGGTGGCCCAAAATGTATATTTGCAAAATGTTTCCCAATACATAAAAAAGATAAACCTTGTGTGTAAACCTGTCCTGAATTCAGGTGGAAATGCACCGACCTCATGAGGAACAGTTGCTTCTTCACTTATTATTGTGAAAATTCACAAGAGATGACACCATCACCATCTTTAGATAACTAGTCCCACGGAAGATGTGTTAACTTGTGAGTTTCTATTTTATATTCTAGTGTTCAGCTTGTAGAGGATGAGAAACTCCCTTGCCTCCCCCCACCCCCAGATCCCGTGGTTATAGAACGTGTGGGAAGAGGCATCTCATTTGGACACATTCGTTTATCGTTAAAAAATATTTATTATGACATAACCAGAATGGGCTTGGTTTTAAATGTTTTTGCATTAGGCCAAGCAGAACCCAGGGAGGGGGGTGGGGGGGGAGGGGAAAGCAGTCTGGGGCTGTCCATGGTGCTGAACGTGGAGCAGGCTCCAGCCTTTGACCTGTTCGGTCCGTCTCCAAGCCCCATTTTCCTTTTTTTCTGTCACCTCCAGTTTCTCCCCTTTCCCAACACGAGCAGCAGAGAGGATGGCCCTTCATATTTTTGTCCTGGGCGGCAGATGACCTTGTGTTGGATCCTCCTTCTCTCCTAGGCTGAGGCGGCCAGTGGGTACTTGTGGCTTTTCCCACCCTCTTGGGCCCCCCACTGGCTCTGTGTATGTGTGCATCCAGTGTGTAGCCAGCCCACAGGCCTCAGGCTCCCTCGTGTCGCCCCGCCCCACCTCCCCCCCGCGCCCCCTCCCCACTTCCCCCGCCACCTGCTCCTCCTCCTTCTCGGTCCCGCCCAGTGCGCTGGCAGCCCCCGATCCCCGGAGCAGGGAAGAGAGAGGGACGAAGGAAGCAATACAAAGGGCGGAGCGGCGGGAGGAGGGGACCGGGCGCGGCACGGGCATGGACGCCGAGTACCCTGCCTTCGAGCCCCCGCTCTGCAGCGAGCTCAAGCACCTGTGCAAGCGGCTCCAGGAGGCGTACCGCGAGCTGAAGGAGGACCTCACGCCTTTCAGAGATGACCGCTACTACAGGTAGGGGCGGGCGGGCCCCCGCCGGCCGGGCTACGGGGAGGGGGCGCGGACCCCGGGCTTCGGGCAGCCCCCGCCCCCGCCCCCGCCTCCGCCCCCGCCTCCCTAGTCCGGGAACCGGGCTGCGCTCCCGGCCTGGCAGGGTCCAGCCCCTGGGCCGCCACCTCACCCCGGCGCGTGTCGAGTAGTGGGAGGAGGGGCGGAAATGGGGGCAGGTCTGTGGATTCTGGCTGCGATCGGGGAGCCGGGGTAAAGAGCTGTATAGCCATCCCCTAGAAACCTGAGCCGAGACTCTCAAATCCGGAGAAGGGGACCCACGGGCTTTCGTCCCTGCTTTGCTCCTCCCTCTCTTCCTCCCATCCTGTCATCCCCTCCCACCCCCCACCCGCAGGCCTACCGCCCCCACGGTCTTGCTCAGGCCTCGCTGAGTCCGGGTTTGGGGAGAGGATCACTCCCCCTCCAGTGTCAGGCAGGGAGGGCCTTGGCATCTCTCTTTTGAGCTACTCAGGCCCCTGGGCTTTGGTGAAAATCTCTGAGGCTGGGATGTTCCTGAGCGTTGGGGGCAGATGGCCTCAGGGCTAAGCAGCACCTTGCTGAAGATGCTGTGGGAGATCATGGTTGGCAACCCCAAGGAGTTGTTGGTTTGGGCTTGTCTGTGTTCATCTCTGGCACCCTCTCCGTGTAGCTAAGGTGACAGCTAGGAGGGCTGGTAGAGCCCTGCAGCAGGGCAGTGGCCCCTTGCTGTTCTGATGGGAAACCATGTCCATCGTTAGCGAGTGGACTTAGCTGATGTGTTGTGCTGTCATGCAAGAACCCCGTCTGGAGTCTGGAGTCTGGAGTCTGGGGCCCTAGGGTGGTTTTGTTACTAACTAGCTCTGTGACCCCGAGAAAGTTATCTGCTGACTTTGCTTTGCAAGCTTCCTCATCTGTAAAATGGGTAGCTTGAACCAGAAGGTTTGTGAGGAGGTGAAAATTCAACGGATGATGTACTCACTATGTGCTTAAGGATGGAAGTTGTACCGCACAGCTATCTTTGAAGGGGTGATAGTCATTTTTTCACAACAGGCCCTAATAGCCATATATGTGCTAGAAACACATATATCACACTTATCATCAGACCTTTTCAAAAGTCCAATGGCTTCCCAGGGGCTAATCAGCAATATATTGCTGACTGATACATTGGTCACAGAATTACTGAGTGGAAAAGCCCATTTAAAAGATAAGTGATCCCTGTGGTGAGTCTCTGGATGAGACTCACAATCTGTCTAATGCAGCCCCCCGGGAGACCTGACAGTATGGTAAAAACAAACAAATCAACAAAACCCAGGTAGTTTTCAATCTTATGTTTGATGAATATTCCAGTTTCCTTTCCTACTAATTTCTCACCACTCTATTTTTTTTTTTCTCTGTATTTATTTTCTTGGGAACATTACTTTGGCAAGGGATGTAGTGAATAGCTAAATGGTCTTAATTCAGGTAGCAGAGAAGAGAACAAAGCCACATCACTGGTTAATTCACAATTGGATCATCTTTTGTTCATTCACCCATTTATTCAATGAGTAGTCATCGAGTTAACTCTTGTGTTCCTGCTACCATTCTGGGTGTTAGAGATACAGGGTCCCTGATACCGTGGAGCTTATAGGTAATAAACAAATGATTACATATTGTAATGAGGGCTAGCAAGATAATAAACCAGGTGCCATGATAAGGAGCAACGGGGGTGCCACTTCAGAGAAGGTAATGGAGAAGGCTTTTAGAGAAGGTGACATTTGACTAAGAATGAAGAATGAGTTGCTCACTAGACAATGAGCTAAGGAGGAAAGTTCCAGAAGAGGGAGTATATGTCCCTGAGGCCATATAAACACGGTATAGTAGTCCCCTCTACTCTGCAAGGGTTATGTTCTAAGACCCCCAGTGAAACCACAGATAGTACTGAATCCTAGACATACTGTTTTTTCCTATACATACATACCTATGATAAGGTTTAATTAATTTTTAAAATTTCTTTCTTTTTTTTTAATGTTTATTTTTGAGAGAAAGACAGAGCATGAGCGGGAGAGGGGCAGAGAGAGAGGGAGACACAGAATCCAAAGCAGGCTCCAGGCTCCCAGCTGTCAACACAGAACCCTACGTGGGGCTTGAACTTCTGAATTGTGAGATCATGACCTGAGCCGAAGTCAGACACTTAACCAACTGAGCCACCCAGGCTCCCCTAATTGATTTATTTTTTAAAGTTTATTTATTTTTGAGAGAAAGAGTGAGAGAGAGAGTTGGAGAGAGGCAGAGAGCAAGGGAGAGAGAGAATCCCAAGCAGGCTCCATGCTGTTAGTATGGCACCCAATGGGGGACTTGATTTCACAAACCATGACATGATCTGAGCTGAAATCAAGAGTTAGATGCTTAACCGACTGAGCCACGCAGGTGCCCCAGTAGAGTTTAATTTATAAATTAGGCTCAGTAAGAGATTAACAACAACTAAAAATTAAATAGTACAATTATAATCAAGATTGTGTGAATGTAGTCTCTCTCAAAATATTTTACTGTACTGTACCCACCCTTCTTGTGATGATGTGAGATGACAACGCGCCGATGTGGTGAAATGCAGTAAGGTGAATGACATAGGCTTTGTGATGTGACATTAGGCTACTATGGACCTGCTGACCATATATCAGAGGCAGGATTATCTGCAGGTAACTGAAGCGGCCACAGAAAGCAAAACCACAGATAAGGGGGGACTACTATGTATTTAAGGAATAGACAGAAGACCAGCATGGTCAGAAAAACAGGTAGGGCCAGGTCATATTTAGCCTTGAATGTTAGACTGAGAAGTGTGAATTTCATTAGAATTCCAGTGTGCAGCCATTGAAGGCTTTAAGTGGGGGGAGTGATATGAGCAGTTTGGCTGCCTGTCCTACAGCAAGCATCTGAATCTATGCTTCAGGAACAACTCCACCAGTTGATTTGGATCTTGAAGACCACGAATTTACCATGGTTGGAAGGGGAAAGTGGTGAATTCTGTCCCCCTGCTATGAGAACAAGTCAACTACAGAATGCTTGACAATATTGTGTGTTGGCAGAGCAGTGAGGCTGAATCATGAAGACTGGTTTATAGTGAGGTGATGTTTTAGGTCATCGATCTATCTTCCATTGCTCCACTGGATTTTTATATCAATGGGTTGTACCTTTAGAAAACTAGGCGAAATATTCTTGAGCTTCTAAGTTGGGAAGCTGATAGTCACAGCTCCTGCATCTGCTTAGCTGGAAGATGAACTTGCTACTATAATTTTTGCTCCTGCTTTTCTCACTGCCTTTGTTTCCTCATTAGTGATTTATGATTAAAAGGCACCCTTCCTTTTTCCCCTGGAGGACTGGGCCTTGCTTCATGTGGCTGACAGTTTCCTTGTAATAGGGTACAGCAAGGAAGACAGCTGCTAATGCCCATTTTCAAAAGATGGTTGGTCCCTCCATTAGATGCCATGACTGTTTGCATATTGGCTACATGATTTGGCATCATTGAAAAATGGCAGCCACGTTATCAAAGGACTCTTAGTCATTTGCACAAACTGAGAGATGACAGTGGTACAGCCCGATAGGAAAGGGGGAGTCGGCACCATGTAAGCTGGGTCTGAATCCTGGGTCTAAGTCTCAACTCTACCCTTTGCCAACTCCCTGGCCTTGAGAGTAATCGCTGTAGTTCACTGGTGATAAATTTCCACATAAGAAAAATAAAGCAAAGATTTCATAGGCTCAACTGCTTTGTGAAAATAACACTGAAGATGCTTTCCAATACAGACAACAGAAAAACCAAAGCAGGCGGGAGGCAATGAATTGAGTTGTAGATCCAGCAGCCTAATGCTGTTATCAAGTCCTTTCTTTTTAACTTGATGGCACTTGGCCTCCATTGGCCACTAATAATCATGTAAGCTATTGCTTCTTATTGACATTCATGGGCAGAATGGGCTGGCTTCCTCTAAAAGACAAGGGATAACTTGAAGCCTGCAGCAAAACTCCTTGAATCTCATCTATTCTCCCACCAAAATGTAACAATGAAGAAGACAGACATGTGTTGACCAGGACAGAACTTTCATACACTGCAGATGGGAAGATAAATTGGACAAGTCCCATATGCGACTGTTTGTCTAAAGTTGAACATATGCATCCCCTTTGGCCCAGCAATCCCTTTTAGGTATTTACCCTACAGAAATGCTTATACATGTCCTCAACAGACAAGGACTAAAATGTTCATAGCCACACAATTTGTAATACTCTTTAACTGGAAACCAACCTAATACTCATCAACAGTAGAATGGATAAATTTGACTTATTCCATAATGGTATATTATACAGCAATGAAAGTAAACAACTTACAACTATACACAACAAAAATGAGTCTCACACACACATAACATGAGCAAAAGAAGCTCAGAGTATATACACAGACTATATACTGTTTGATTCTACTTATATATAGTATAAAACAGGCAAAATGACTCTATGCTCTTGGAAGTCAAGGTAGTGGTTACCCATGAGAGAATAGTGAGTGGAAGTGGGCAGGAAAGGGCTTTATGGCTACTGGTAATATTTTGTATCTTGATCTGGGTGCTGGTTACACAGGCATATTCAGTTTGTGAACATCTACCAAGCTATACACACAAAGTGTGTACTTTGCTGTTTGTGTATTATGCTTCAATAGAAAGCTTAAAAGAAAACCAACTCCTGTGTCTCATTGGTGACATCAGGGCCCTTGCTCTTTCTTGAGCTCCTGGGAAGGAAATAGAGGCAAATCAGAGCACCCCAGGAGCTGAGGGTGGGGCTAATTTCCCTAAGGCTTGTGTCCTCAAGGGAGGAGAGGTAGAGAGCAAAACACGGTTGGAACTCATTTAGGAAGAAGTTGTGAGGAATGGATACCAGGCAGGCCCCCATGTCTATGAAATACATAGTAAGGAGCTGAAGAAAAATGAAGGACAGTAAATATGTTCCACTGGAGCTCAGCTCTTGGAGAC